GTGAAAGTAGTACGTAGACAGTCATTCCCGTCTTTATTTGGTAAATCTGTGCATGCTTCCTCTTTAAAATTCCCTTTAGTGACTTGACATCACTTACAGGCCTGTGCTCTCTACCAAATGTCGGCAGCAAATGTTTATGAATGCTATCCTCTGGATCAGCAGCATTGGCTGGTGAGGCTGGAGGCACGAAGGAACGAGCAAGGAAGTGCTGCTCAATAACTTGATCTGTGAGCTCTCTGCATCTGAGTGACATTTCCTTTGCCTTTTGCTTGGCTGTGGTCAATGCAAATGCCACAAAGCATGTTGAGAATATCAGCTGTGCTTTTCTGTTTGCAAGGGAGACATTGACATGCTGTGCTAAGAGATTTTTTCCAGATAACAGCATCTTACTAATCTGTACCTTTTCTTCAAAAAATACAAGGAATTTAATGATCCATTCAAAAGTTTTTGCTTCATTGTGTTTTGCCTGGGTTGGAAGGCTTATGTGCAAGTGTTGAATAAGACTAAGATGGCAAAAAAAAAATGCCATTGAAATGATAAGTACTTGATTTGTGTTTACTCAGGCAGCAGATTCTTGTGACATGCACATGATGGCAAATTTTGCCCAGTAACCCATGCAGAGAGCATCTTTTTCCAAGGTACTGTCTTCAGTATGTTACAAAACAATTAGTCCACTTCAGGCTGTGTCTACTGTGTTCTCCGACAGAAGTCCTACCAAGATTCTTCTAACATTTGTGATTTGGGAAGGTCAAAGCACCTCAGCGAACCAAGTCCTGCTACAAAACTCCAAAACGTTCATTTCTGGAGAGAAGTTCCTTTTAAGCATTTATGAGCTCAGTGGTTGAGATAGGTTCTTCAGTATTACTGGATCGTTTGCAGAGAAGCTTTCTGCTGACAGATCTTTTCCCACTGCATACCTGACAAACTGCGCATTCTTGATGCAGTTTTCAGGAGAGGGAGCTATCATATTTAACAGCAAGGGCACTGCTGGTCTGAAGATCAGACTGATTCACCACTGAATATGCACTGCCGAATGTGCAGCGCTGTGTTTAAATTTTGCTTTCCATCTTACAAATGGACTGCTGTGCATGATCACTACACACGCGCATACATCTTCTCTGTCTCCCTCTTTGCCTAACTTTTGCTAAACTCATCAATGTTTTTAATAATATACATGGCAAGCCTTGCTGACAAACATGGTAGACTGTAAAGGATCTGGCAGAAATCAATAAACATCCAGCAATGAAGAATTTAAATAGAAATGATGACAGCTTCTTCAGGTTAAAAATCAATAGTACAAGGTTGAATGTGGTCTTGGATGCCACAATCAGGTCATGCTAGGCAGCTGTTCTCTCTTCACTGAGACCTCTGGGGTGCTTTTGGTGCAGCAAGGGGAAGGGAGATGCCAGCGTGTGTTTGGAGAAGCCTGGTGCCTTGTTTCTAGTTGGGGGGAGCACTGCAGTTCTGATAAATTTGGTTGAGGTAAATACTTTTTAAAAGTTTCCTTATTTTGATTGCCGTAAGAATACATCTGTACATATTCCGTAGAAATTGAGTTGCAAACTCAGCAAGGACTGTATTTTGTGAGGTAGGAGCTCGCTCTGCTGCATGAAGAACACAGATAGTAGGAGATAGTACAGTGTAGTACCCTGAGGCACTCTCTCTGTGTTGCTCACCAGTGCTCCCAGCCTCTCATCCCCAGCTGCCCATTGGACTCCAGGTCTTTTATACTGACTTGCAAGGCCAGATTTGTTTTTTCTTTTACTGCAAAATGCATTTAAGATGTATAAGAGAGATTTAAAACAAGAGTAGGTCACTAGCAGGTTACTAACTTTTGGAATTTAATTTTTTCCTATTTTGGGGTTGGTTGGTTTGTTTTTTAAATGTATTGAGTATTGCGGAAGATCCATAAGTTATCTTCTCTGTTGTCAATATCACAGCTGTCAACCAGTAGTGGAAAGCCATTCTGCTTTCTCCCACCCCCTTCTTTTGTTTTTCAACTTGTCAAACTGAAGAGTCCCAACACCTTGGTGTCCCTTGTGCCTGTGGAGTTCAGTAATTAGTATTCTTAAAGCTCACCTTGTTTAGGATCTCATTCAGCCGTGCCCTATTCCTGAATGCTCTTTCCAGTATAGTGTAAGCTGTAAGCCGGTGTGGAATAGTACACTGCTGGAATTCAGCTGTTCTTGTGGGCAGATTAAACTTGCTGGCAGACAGACAGCATGAGTGAATGATGTCAAATTTTTCTGAGTTCTAATCTTTGAGGTTCCTAAACCAAAAAAAGCCAAATCTTGGATATCCTGCTTTTTAATTTTTTAACTGTCAGGCTTTCCTAGGTATAATATAAAAATAATACATCTTCAAAGATCTATTAAAGTTATTGTGAAGGGCAGTTTCTTTCTCAGATGTAACCAAGAATCACATTTGTTTGAAAATGAAAAGTCATTCTGACTCTTAGATTTTTGATTAAAAACATAATTCTAAAGACCCTTTTTTATATATATGTATATAGACTGAGCTCATATTCTGGATATTTAGTGCTTTAGTACCTCCATAACTTTTAGGATGTACCACAATTTTTTTAAAAGTAATAGACAGTGTACATGTGGGCTGTTTGTTTGCACAAAGAAACCTATTTTTCCTAGTGTGTAGATTTCATGTTAGGTTTAAAAATAAACTTGTATGTTTTCTTTGGCATTAAGCCTGCTTATAACTGTAAGTGCATTGATTTAATATGACAGCTAACCTGTCTGTTCATAATAGCCTTCAAAAAAATTCCTGCTCTATTTTACAGCTGCTTAGGAAGACAACTCTTCCCTCGAGTACTTAAGCAACATGGGGTTATCTAGGGACAACTAGAACTTATTTAAATTTTCCCTGTACAAATGAAAGCCCATTCATTACTTCTGATTATTTTCTGGATCTATAGGATTTGGCTACTTAATTGCTCATACATTTTGATTCTGTAGAAGTTCAAAAGACAATAAAAGTAGCCCATAAATTTTTTTTTTTTGTCTTTTAAGAGAGTTGGAGGAAGTAGAGGATGGAACTTAAAGAAGAGTTTCCCATGCATGCATTTTTGACTTTTTGGTAGCCACCCTGATTAGCTTTTCTGATCAGTTTCACTAGGAAAAAATGTTTTCTAGAAAAACTCACAGGAAGATTTTGTCAGAATTTCCCTGTTTGATTCATAAAGAGAGGAGAATACAGGAATCAGCAAATAGAAGTGTCTGTTGATTGTGCCTGTGTTATAATTATAGTAACATGAAATTCTGTTACATTGGGATCAGTAGTGGTTTGTTGTTCAGGGTTGGTCCATTTCAATTTTATGGGATATAAATTCATTCCAGTGCCAGTCTTTTTGGAAGAATAATTTACAAAAAAAAACCCTCCACAAAAGTCCCAACAAACAAACTCTCCCCTACCCCACTCAAACTGCAAAACCTTAAGAAAATTATGTAAACTTATTTTCCAGTCTTACTCCATATTTAATTGATCAAGTTAAGAATTATAGTATCTGAGGCAAGTTGCTTCTGATTAATCATTATGCAACTGGATAAAGGTTTATTAAAAAAAAAAATAAAAAAATCCTGCCTTATTAGAAAGCAATACCAGAATTTGTCTAAGGTAATTTGCACTAATTGTCCCCCTTGTGAGAGAGCTTAACCGTGCCATGCGTTTTTATGTTATATCTAATCTGGTGTAACTGTGTGTTACCACTTCAAGAGTGGTCACAGTTTCCTCCCTTATACCTGTGAATTTCTGCTTGCTTCAAATCAAACAATCTTCAGACCATGGGTCAGTGAGATCTGTCAGCTCATCCCAGAGGAAATTTTTGTACTAGGAAAAAAAAAATCACTTGGGGGCTTGGTCGTCTTTCCCATCTTGCAAACGTGCACTCTCTAGATCTGTTGTGTGTGTTTTGGAGAAAGGTCAGAAGTTGTCTTCTCAACACCAGCCTGCACTTGCATCAGTTAGACTGAGTCTTTAACTCATGGTGGTATATGAAGTGGCTATTTGGTTCAGTTTTACATGTTTTGTAAATGCTAGAGGATTGGCATGCAAGTGTAGAGCTTCTTACTGCTTGAACACATTAAGGTGTTCTAATGTAAACAGAAATACTCAGTAAAAGTCCACGGGCCAATAACCCTGAGTGTTGACGGTGTTCAGTACGATTTGAGATGTTACAGAAGATGTAGACTAGCATAGAAGGTAGGAACATGATCTGCTAGAATACAGACCTTGCTCATTTCTCTTTATTTTAATTTTATTTTATTTTAACATTCTAGCCAATTGAAGAACATTCCTTTTCAAATTACAATCACCCAGAGTAGAGTTAAGGTCGCTATAAGGCTGGCAGCGTAAAATACTCAGTAGGAAATGAAACAGCACATAGCCATGAAACAGCAAAAATCTGTCAGAGATTATATAAAGGTTTTTGATAATGGTGCTTGAGGAAGGAAACTTCTGATAAAATGTGCTGAGTTGCGCTTTTGATTACAATTTTTATTCTTTGTCAGTGAGGTTGTATGCAATTGAGGACAGAAATAAAGATATTTAAGATTTGACTTAGTTTGCTTATTGGCTTGATGTCCTTAATTTGTGATCTTCATGTTTATAATGCGTCCACGTGGGGAAACTGACTGAAGCAACTCACGTGAAGCTTTAATTAAGAATGTATTGAATAATTTTTTTTTTTATGAAGTCTCTCTTGACTTAAAAGCTTATTCTCTAATATTCTGGTTAACTTACTTAAAGGTTGATTTAGGAAGATGTTTAGTACTTGGTGTCTTTCCCTTTCAATGTACATAAATGCTAATCAAAAAAAAAAAAGATTTTGATAGCCATTCTACATTTGATTGTATTTTTATATATTAGTGAGCTCTGAGTCAAGTATTTTTTCTATTCTTTCTGCTATCTGATCAATCAGGAGTTTGTTTTTAAGATGGAGAACTCTTTGAAGAAGCTTAAGAGAGATATTTCCCTGTGCTCTTTTTTAGCGAAATGACAAAAACAGTGGAGATTTCTGGGGAAGGTGGACCCTTGGGAATACATGTAGTGCCCTTTTTCTCATCTTTGAGTGGAAGGTAAGATATTTCCTGTGTTGCTCAAGTAGTATATTAATGAAAGGATTTCAGTTGTGGTTCTCTTAAAATACTTAATGTTTAACCATACCGAAAAGAAATGCCTGAAAGAAAATTGATCTATGACTCTGTCTTCCATTACCAAAATATTTATAAGTCCAAGTTACGTATAAAATAATACCAACCCTTTTGTTCATTTATGTCCTTTTAATTGCCTCTGGTTTTATTCTCTGAATGGTAAACTAGACTCTTTGTTAAAGGTGTGGAGGCTAGGGGATTGTTTGGTTTTTGTGGTGATGGGTTGATTTTGTGGGTGTGGGGTTTGGTTTTGGTTGTGTGTTGTTTGTTTGGGTTTGTTGATGGATTTGTGGTTTTGTGTTGGGGTTTCTTTTTTTCCCCGAATTGGATTTCTCTGCATAGACCTTTCCTTAGTGACATATCAGACAAGAAAAGTCAAAAAATTTGCTTGCCTGGTCATGCCTCATATTTTTCAAGCCACCTTTCAGATTTGGTTGTATACCATTTATAAAATGTGCACTATACCATGAACTTTTCTTTGTCACAATACAATTACTTTAATTATAAATGATTTAACATAGTCTCTTGAGATCGCAAAAGCCTATTATAGCAGCGTGCTCATATTGATGTACTGTAGTTAAGACTGTGTCAGCATTTTCATTATAACTATTTTCCAAGCTATGTAACTCAGATGGTAAAAAAATATAATAAAAAAATCTGGGCTGAAATTTGACATACAGAGGCTTAGCCAGAGAGTTAATTTGACCCTGGCAGCCTTGAGTAAGAGATGGGAAATTGCCAATGCCATAAAAGACACTCCTTTGTAGTAAAATGGCTGCCTGCAACACTAAGACAATTATTGCAAACGTAGAAATTGTCTAATTCTTAAATGTTTCCTTACTTATCAACTTTCATGTAGGACAGAATATCAAGAATTAAATTGCCTTTTATAGGTCTATGTGTATAAATGTTTTCTCAGCGAGATATGAGTTTGTAAGTGGACCCACATTCATTCAGAATGTTTTATTTGCCAAAAGGGAAAATAGATGTCTTTCTGCTGCCTGGAAAAATGTTGTCACTGTCTCAAGGAGAAAGTTGGTCTTCAATGGAAACTGTAGGAGGTCTGAGTTGTGTCCTTGGCTTTGCACGCTGCCTGTTTGTCTTGAGAAAGGCACTTGTGTTTGTTAACCCATCATGAAATGCAGACCGTAGTTCTTTGTTATAGGCATGCCGTAAAGGTTGTAGTGTGTACACTGTATTACAAGCTCATTAGGTAAAAAATGTGATGAAATCGTTAAAATATTAAGATCAGTAATTACTGTGACTGTAATACAGGACTGTACTGAAGTATCGTGTTGAGTGCAGCTTTGAGAGACCTCCATGAAGAAAACGTGGAGTTTTTTGGTCTGCGTTGTGTGCGTGTTAATACGTCCTTATTTACAAATGCTTTTAGGGATCCCTCAGAGCAAAGGGGTTTTTGACAGATGAATGGCTTGTTTAGGCAATTGTCTTGAAATTTTAATGACCCTTGGCAGAACTATAGTGATACCTTTGTAAAAGCACTAGAGTGGCTTAAATAGCTTGTCCCTCTTATTTAATCGAGTCTGAGACTAGTGTATAAATTTTGACTCATGATAACATGAGAAAATACAAAAGAGCATCTTCTATTTCTGTTAATGACAAGATACAATTTGTGGTGGCACCCTGGCCATGACTAACTTGGTCTGATATTTCAGTTGTGAAGTTATCTTCTAATAAGATAATGCTGGCTTTAGCCTAGTGCTGCTGCAAAGCAAGATTTTTCTACAGGTAGTTAGAACTTTGTATTAAGTTACAAAATCTTAGTTTATACAGGAACTACAGAACTAATGTAAATAATTTTCCCCCTTTCTTTTGCAATTAGATGTAATTAAAAAAAGAAAATTAAAATTTAATAGTGCATTAAAATAATGCTAAAATGGAGGCAGTGGAAAAAAGTAATGGAGCAATGATTTTAGGCTGCCACAGCACATATAATTTAAGCCACTTGTTCAGGTATTGTGGCACACAAGAAGTTTCAGACAAGCAGGCAATCCTACTGCATTATATGGATGGAGCATCTAAGCACAACAGGATTAGTGAGCAGCTGACTTAATTTGTAATTTCTTTTTTTTCCTCCACTTTATTGGTTTGCATCTTAATATAATTATATTTCATTAGTTCTTAGTATTTAGTTTTTTGATTGCCACTAGTTGGATGTCTGTCATCAACAGGGCTGCTGCCTCTCACCACCACTGCCTTTCTGAATCCTTTAGTGAAGGGTAACACAGCTTGCCAGAAAATCTCTATGCAATAGGTTGAATCGTTTTTTTCTGTTAGATATTTTAGAGAAGTAATATTCAGTAGGAACCAAGTTTTCACTTAAAGTACATTGTTATGAAAAAAATAATTTTTTTAATCTTGTTATACAGTAAATCTAGAATCAGATGCATGGTGAATATAGTGTCATTTGAAATAGTTAATGACAGGCTGTGAATCTGTTGAATGGACTTAAATATATGGGGCAGTCATGAATCTGAGACAAAATACAAGTCTCTGGTTTTGTGATTGGAGTGCTGGCACACTGAAAATTGCACATTAATATTTTAGGGAGTATAACCAATAGAAAATGGTCTCTAAAGGTCATCTGTCTTTGATGCTGATGTGGAATGGAAATTTAGTGGATAAAACTTGATTATAAAAGATCTTCACAAATACACAGTTGTCGGGTTTTTTATGCATTATACTGGTATCATTGGATATATCTATGTTGAGTTGCACTCTGCAGTACAGGGATGCTCCAGGTAGGTCAGGAGTAGCCTGGTACTTCCAGTAGAGGAACTTGGGAATTTTGCATCACCCACACCTGTACACTTAACGCATTATGAGAAATTTCTGTGCTGCACCTTAGTTTTCAATTTGCCCATAACTTGGTAACAAACAACTTGGGTTTTGATGTTCTGCTGCTCTTCTGACGCATAAACAAATAGCATTGCTGTCACATATCAAAACAAGGGGCTTTTGCAACTGAAAATTTTCAGAGACTTTTCATAGAAAGAGTGGTTATTTTTTTATCTTATTCTAATGCCCGTTTAGTTTATTATAGTTGAGTTAGAATATTACTTTTAATCTGTTTGTGCTTTTCTTTGGAGCAATGTAATCTTAGCAGCAGAGAGATATTGCATAAGCTACATTCCGATTTTTAACTGGGGGGAATCTAGGTGTTTTCCTCTGTTTCTCCAAGTATGACTTACAGGACTTAATGCTTCCTGAAGTTTTAGCAAGTAGTATAGCATTAGTGTCCAGTGGTTTTTCTTGGTATTTCTTGTAACCCCCTCCCTGTTACTTGGAGAGTGAGCTGGAAATCCTTTTTCTAGGTTAAGTATACACAGTAGACATTAATATCTATTTTTAGTTGCTGTAAATTCATATCAGCAGAATAAGGATAATTTTCACTTTTTTTTTTTTTTTTTTTTTTATGCTGGGACTCTTCATCCGTGGCGTTGAGGAAAATAGCAGATCTAGGCGTGATGGGCTTTTCCATGAAAATGAATGCATTGTGAAGATTAACCACGTGGACCTTACAGATAAAACCTTTGCACAGTAAGTGCTGGTTTACTGGTACTTTTAACTATCTGGGACTTTACACAGTAGTATATTTATTAAGTGATTCATGCAAAGGGATTAGTATTTATTTCACTTAAAATGCCTGTAAAATTGATACCTGGCAGAAACTTTGTAATTTTCTGAAACCTCCAAATAGGATGAAATTTGAGGAATGTTCTTGTAGTCCTAGTGTGCTTGCTTAATTTAAATAGCTTTGTGTGTTTTAATAGTTACCTTCACTTTCTAATTCTCTGCTATTTTTTCCATATTTTCTTTGTAAATTCCTCCTTATAAAACCTTAAGAGTGAGTCAACATCACAGCATTTTTTTTGATGTTCTTTTGCAAATAGGAATTTTTTTTTGGTGCTGCGGCTTTTTGAGCATTTAATTTTTTAAAAATACTAGTACTGTCAAACTATGATTAGTTGAGCTAAATGGTAAATCTCACCTCTTACAACTTTTAATCAGAATCTTTTGACATTTATTATCTATCTCAAAATACCTTAAGTATCAGGTTGCTTTGATCGGCTGTAAGTTAGTGTGACAATGTTGCACAAAAGAATAGCCTCTGAAATTTCACAGATATTTGCTGTTGTAATTAAATAGTAATTTGTTTTTACTTTTAATCCATATGTTTAGACAGCTGAGTGATTGTTTATAATATAACAAAAACCAATTGAGATCTCAAGGGAGTTTAGACTTAACTTCTTAAACAGTAAGCCAAATGTTCAAGGTTTCTAGACTAAAATCAAGTAAGTAATTTCACTGTTAGGAATAAATATTTGCAAAATAGGTTTTCATAAAGCCTAGTTCTGTAGTAGATATTACCTTGTTTCTGATGCTGTTCTTTTTGCCTTCGAATAGGTTTTCAAGTTACTGTTTTCTGAATATTTGGTGGTAAATGTATTCTGATGTGATGTAGTGTATGTCATTCTCTTCCACTGAGGGAAAGTTCCTATATATGATACCAACTTTATCAGAACAAAAGCATTGGTATCATATTAAAATGTTTGTTGCCTCACCTGTCCAGTTTTGTAATGAGGATGTATCCATCTCAAATGAGATTTTGCCTGATTCGAGCCTTCTCTTTTCAAAATTGTATATGATCTTTTCTTTACAAATTTGTTGAATTTTTTGTGTTCTCTTCAGAATGTAACTACACCTCCAGAGGCTTTAAGCCCATGAGATGTATGTGGAGCGGAAAACTCTACGTAATTTTCTGTAAGGTTACTAGATTTTGGGACAGTTAGAAATATTGCAGCAAACTTCCCGGTTCTCCATCAGGCTTCCCTTCAAAATGAGAAACGCAGGACCCTTCACGTTCTCCAAGTTTGTGTAAAATTTTGGGAGTTGGAAGAAATATTTACAAACACAATTGTTTGTCTGTCAAGACTGGCCTCTCTAAACTGTGTCTCTGTCATTGGGAGAGCAAAGGAGAAGTGACTAAAAGGTGATTCAGAGCAGAGCCTGATTTAGTTGGTCTGCTTCTTCACTTTTATCTTACAATAACAAGTAGGGTGGTTGCAGTGGCATTGGATCTGAGTAGAAAAACTGTGAGCAGTGAAGACTCAACATCCATTTGGGGAATGGGGGAAGTATTTTGGACAAACTCTAGCCTGGTCCCATGTCCTGTTACATTGTTCCCCTGAATTGCCTTCCAGAATACCTTCTGCATCATCTGTTTTCCCTGGCTGTTGAGAATGGCTAAATAAAGCAACTTTCCAAGTTGAAACTAATCTGAGTGAATATGCCTTTTAGCTTTCATCTAGCACGACATAACTGTACTAACCTGACAGAAGTCCAGCTTAAAGAGATGCAATAATTGTAATGGATGTGACGAAGTACTGTCCCAATGACTATTGACCCAGAAATAGTGATCAGATTCTCCTTTGAGAGGAAAATCTTGTTTGCTAGTTTTGAATTGGCGTTTCTTCATAACCCTTGTAAAAGCTGTTTTAACACTTAGCAGGGACTGCTACGTACTGTCTCTTTCTGTTTTCAGCAGAGACTTTCTAGTATTGCTCCTGATGATTGCTGCTTCTGCAGCTGTAATAGCAGTAGCCTACTTTCAGTATTCCCATGTTTGTAATAGTTTTATATACTGGGACTGTTGGTGTGCTTTTTCCTTTGCTGTTAATCTATTCAATTACATTCTGTTGTGTTGCAGAGTTTCTAGCACCTCTTTTAATTGACTCTCTTTTTCTTTAATTTATGTGTTTAGGATATCAAGAAATGTAAATTTCTCCATCCATTATTTTTTCTCTTTGAAGTGCAGCCAGTTATTTTGCCCCTGAAGACTGCATTTAGACTTTCCCACAGGATGTCTTGTGTTATTTCCACTATTTTTTGTTTGAAGGAGATCTTACATTTTCTCTTTCATATATGTAAAATATTCATCTCCTGAAACCGAGTTATTAAATTAAATTTGTAACATATGGCCAAGTGGCTGCTTGCAAGGATGAAGACAGGGTGCAAAAGAAACCTGCCTAAGACTTCACATCCTGCTGCTGAATGCATTCCATGGTTTCTATGGTCAGGGCAAGGTCTTTCCTTGAAAACCTTTGCAGGCTGTAGATGAGCAGGTGACCTGCAATCCCTGCAGATACATTGGGACGGTGCTGCTACACTTCTGAAACCTAGCGCTTGAGGGTGATGCTGGAGGAAAACCTTCTCACAATACTCTCCCTGCTACCTTCTCCGAATTTGAGGTTTCTCTCCTAGCAGTGTCTCCTTTCAACGAATGCAGTTATTCTGACTCTCAGTGCCTATACACTCAGTATAGCCAAGATGGTTCTTTCCCACCACAGTATCCATTGGCACGGCCCTGGACTTCAGTGTCTTCATGCTGCCAAAAACCCTTTTGAAACAGCCCCTCCCTTCCACTACCTACCACTGCAGGGTGGAGGTACTGTGCGGCTCTGTTGATCTGGGAAAGCAGTAGGTGTGTATTCAAGATCTTAACATTTGTGGTGGCTTCCTTTCTGTATCAGCATAAGAAATTGTTTATTTAGCACATACTTTCCTGTTGCATAATTGAGTGTAAATCCAAAGCCAAGACTTCAGTGAAATACTGACTTTGCCTGACTGACAAACGTGCCAGAGGAAGGTAGGAGATCTGTAAATTCTTCTCAAAAAGACTGTGATTTATATAAAAATCAGTGTGGCCATTATTTCCCCTCTCGATTCGATTCTGGTAAGCACAAGTTCTTGATTTTTTCGTTCTCAGAATGTGCTTTAGCTACTACTTCTGTTTGTACTTGAGTTGTCTTCTGCAGTATGGAGGAAAATCAGTCCACTTTATCAGAAGGTAGGAGAGAAAGGCATAGAAAGAGAGAAATATCCTTTGTTCCTTTAGAACCCAAGGTTCATAAAATGTCTTGATTGACCAAATCTATGCATTGTTCAAAACCTAGGACAGGCTTTATGAATAGTTGCTTTCGCCAACTTGTCTTAATTGTCTTGGAATGCACAGGAACCCAAACACTGTATTGTTACCATGTTTATCGGTTCAAGGAGAGTAGTTTCATGAAATCTCTAACACAGTTTCTGGTGTTGCAATTGAGCACATCTAAAAAGACATTGATAAATTCAAGTCCACATATCCACCTTAGTAAGAGATTACTGCTTGAAAGATGTGAGTAATATCTACCTATTCATTCATCTGTGTATGTAGAAACACATGAATAGTTGCAGCTTTTGCAGCCACTAGGTTTTTTTCTGAATTCTATATATCCCGTACCATCGTTGTTTTCTATTGCACCATTTGGAGTCACAGTATTTCTTCTGAAGATGTCCACATATCCCATATGCTCATCATTTTTTATTGGTGTGGTATCAGCCAGCAGTTGCATTAGAGGTGATGAAGGAGTCTGAGGGGCAGTTATGCTGTACTCGGAAAAAATGGAGTCTTGAGCTTGCTCATAGTAGATGTATCCACCAGAGCAATTGGTCGTAAGTGCTCAGTGTGCCTCTGTGCTGACAGGAAAGTGTGTAACAAGAGAAACACTTGAAAAAAGTAGCAAGCTATAGCTTCAGAAGTCTTTTGATGAACTTTTGCCATCAGAATTTCCCTTCCTGATGTGCCACATGAAGAATTGTGTTCATTAGTTTATTCTGGCCAATATGTTTTCATAGCAGCCTAGAAATCCTGACAGATGTGCTATTCCTACTTGAAATATAAGGAAATGCTGTAGTTTAGAAGTCTTATTTCATGAGTAGTTTTTAGAAAAGGGACCCTGTAGATGTGAAGGTAAGGTTATTTCTTCATATTTAAGATAAATTTTTGTCTTGTTCTCTGTAAACAACTTGAAACTTTTCCCAGATTTCCAGTTTGTTATGTGAATTTTCATTCCTTTCTTTTAAAGGGCTCAGGACATCTTCCGTCAGGCAATGAAATTTCAGAGTGTTATCTTGGAAGTCCTTCCTCCATATAATCGAGAACAATATGAGAAGTCTGCTATTGCTCCCCTGTGTTTTCTGGATAATGAAGAAGGAGTTCCAAAAACAAAGATTCCACCTCCTGTTCATCCAAAACCTGCTCTGAAAACAATTAATCTTTCTGGAGCAAGCAGCTTGGAGGCAGATGTACAGGCAACACTACAACAAGCTAACAGCCCCAACCTCCCACGTCTGGGTAGAAAGTCATCTTCTCCCTCTCTCTCTCCCCTTATGGGCTTTGGCAATAAAAGAAATGCAAAGAAAATAAAGATAGACCTGAAAAAAGGTAAGTCTTTGGAGATAATATGATTAATTGTCTCTATTGATACCTTAACTTTTAACTAAACTAGTGACATTAAAAGTATGACGAAGTTATTTACAGTTTAAAAGTTCCAAAACTTCCAAAAAAGTAAAGGAATGTTAACAGTAATGTTTTCAACAGTCAGCTTTCTTGTAAATTTAGGATGTATGTTATCCAGCCTTACTTACATTTACTGATTACATGGAAGATATTTCATTAGCAACATGCAATATTAAGAGATGCTTTAGCCGTTTTGCAGGTACAGATTAAAAATTTGAGCTGTCTGCTGGTAACCTTTGTTATTTTATTCATATCTGCTAATTGACCAGCACTGTTACAGACATTCTTTTAAAGATGTGTTTAAAAATAGACTCTGCTCTGTTTCATGTTATCCAGGAAATTGATCACAGATTTACCTGTCTTTCCCTTTTTTATGTTCTACAAACCTTTTCTTTCCATCTGTATTTATTCAGCTGTCAGCGGGCCGAATTTTATGTGTATATATTTAATTGCTGCTCCATGCAGATGTCTGTCTTTGCATGGAGTAACAGGTTTATGCACATGTATTAAAATGTGCTTAAGCAGATCCCAATTAGCATTTATATTTTCTGTTTAGTTTCTGTCTCTGATTTGGCTGAGAGTTACATTTGATGGTAGAAGTGGCCCTTTTAAAAACTATCTGTAACTTTATTCTTTTAACACATAATGAATGTAATCAAGCTGTCATTTCTTAATTTTTGTTATTTCTTAACTTAAATCGTTCATTTTTACTTCTGAACTCTTCAGCTTTGTATTAACAAAACCTACTTCAAAATTTTCCCCATTTTAGATGTAATGCTTTTTGATTTTTGAAACAGTAATTTACATTTTTAGAAATTATAAGAATGTGATACTAACATGATATTTCTGAAAACTATTTCATGAGTAACAATCCTACTCAACATAAAAAGATTTTTATGGACCCTGTTATTCCTGGGTGATTCTGGTGGCTTATAAGCAATAGCTGCTAATACTGATTTTACTGCCTGATTATTTCTTAAAACGTTTATCTGTTAATACTTGATGTTGTTTATTTCCAAGCAGCAAACAACTTCAGGAATGGAAGCTTTGAAATACCACTTGTCCTTTCTTAACGGCTTGTTGCCAGCAATTTTTGCATTCAAATCATGTGACGTTTTCTACTTTTCTAAGTTTCAGTAAAACCTGTCGAATTCTATTTATGCTTTTAAATAAACAATTCTGATTGCTGTGATTTGTTTCAAATACTATTGACATTAATGTGAAGGCTGAGAAAAGGTAAATGCTTTAAAATGAGAGTTCTTGCTTGTTTTGTATAATCATGGGCTATCCGAAAGTATTTCCATCTGTAGCTGTTGCAGGAGGATTTGAACATGTCAGGCATATCAGACACTGATAGAATTCCTCTCTAGACCATGCAGAAAATAGGCTCATGTTTACAGCTTTTTGTTTGCTTGCTTTTTTAAGAGCTTACCTCAATGAGTGTCTGTGATATGTTACTGACATTTTTTACTTACTTTACTTATTTTTAATGATCATCATTTGCTTGTTGAGATTTATGTTGAGAGTTCTTTTTTCTGACCTTCTAGGTCCAGAAGGACTTGGTTTCACTGTGGTTACCAGAGACTCTTCAGTACATGGTCCTGGTCCGATTTTTGTGAAGAACATTTTACCAAAAGGTGCAGCAGTAAAAGATGGTCGTTTGCAGTCAGGAGACAGAATCCTGGAGGTTAGGAGAAACATCCATTGTGTTTGCATTGCTGAGTATTGATAGCTGGTTTGGGCATAAATGTTTTATTTCCTTATACTTACTACTAATGTATGGAATTAAAATTCTTGACCTTGGTTTAAAAAAAAAGTCTCATGGCTTTAGCACTGTTTGTCAACAAGTATTTTACACCCCGATTTGGAAGAAGGTGCTTTTCACAAGGGTCCATGGGATATTTGAACAAGGGGTATGTGATGACATGTTGGTTCTTAAAGCAGATAAATGTATCAGTTTAGAAACAAAACATGTCTTGCTTCTTCAGCCATGTCCAAAAATCTCTGATTAATATCAAAGTTGTTAAGTGCTCACTTTAAGCCACTTTTGCTCAAATCAATCTGTTAAAAATTTTCAGATATCTTATGACTTACAATCTCATTATCTAAGGGGTTATTTCTACTTACTAACCTCGAAAAGCTCTTAAGTTAAACAGTTTTAAAAATACTTGGGTTTTGTTTTTGTACTTTCATCTTCAAAGTGCTTTACAAACTAATTAAACCTCACAAACCCCCTACAAGGTGGGTAAGTACTACAGACCTGCTTTAACAGATGGTGGAAACGAGGGAAAAAAGGTTAAGTGATTTGTGCAGGGCGAGAGGGGGAGACGGTGTGGGAGCTGTTACTGGTTCTTTGTTGCTCTCGGTTTCTGAATGACACCCGTGTTAGGTGAGGGAAAAGTGACAGTCATACTCACAGATATGACATCCTCTGTTCTTTTTTGTCTGGTAGGTGAATGGACGGGACATCACTGGCAGGACCCAGGAAGAGCTTGTAGCCATGCTGAGGAGCACAAAGCAAGGGGAAACTGTCTGTCTGATTGTGGCTCGTCAGGAGGAGGCTTTTCTACCTCGAGAGCTGGTAAACTTGTTATTTTGTCCTGAAGAGTGATATTGAAACAATTCTGTGCCTTGAAACTAGTCCAAGAAATAGAAGTGAACTGTTGTTGGCTGAGAAAGCCAGCAAAGGGTAACCGTGTAAGACTTCTGTTTGAGAAGTACTTCTACTTGCGTTTGATTTTGATGGATATTTGGTTTTATCTGCTTTAGATGCAATTCCACGCAATCTGATTTTTTTCATCCCAAAAATGACATCATAAGCATAACTTACAGGGGAGTATTTAAAATGAACCTTGTAACTGTGAGGTCAAGTATGACTGAAAATGGATTACTGTCTTTCAGAAAAGCAACAAACTCTAAACCAGAAGTTCAAAGTGCATGTAATGAGTCCTGCAACTTATCAGTAACAAACCTAGTGAGGGTGGCTGCCCCCAGGAGATGCATCTCCGAAGCCATTTGCCAAACTGTGGGAGTGATGAGGAATAGAATTCCATTGCACTCCTCACAAATTTTGGAAGCAAGCTTTTCCTTGGCTGCCAGTCTTTGACTTAATAGGCTCTTGCATGTCTGATTTTGTTCTATCTCAGGTTCTTAATTTTCACTTTTTTTTTTAAACACTGGCATGAAACTTCTGGTTTTCTCTCACATACAGAGGAGGACTACATCAGTGTAAAATTGCTATCTGAAACAATCTCGTTTCCCCTCAAAGAACCTTGGCTCTTTGGTCCCCTCCTCCTTATCTTGAGTGATGGCTATACTTGACCTTTCATTAAAAAGTGCTCAGGATAAAGGAAGGACAGTGTTTCCTGCCTTTGTCTTGTTTAATCTCTTCTAAAGAACACAAACCTCCTTCATTCTTTTCTTAAGATGCTGCCTTCTTGCTTTTCCTTTTGCTTTAGACTGTTAGCAGGATCTTCTACAGAAATCTTGCACTACGTTTCCTCACAAAACATTGCTGATAGTTTTCCTCTTGTTTCCTTGTTACCAATTGGACCTTGCTGAGGTAAGGGTTGTCTGTTGCCTCTGGTAGGGTAAGAAGCTGGAGGGGAGTTGGGATTCTCTCATGTGAACCTTTCCTTTTGCACCACTGGTGCCCACTTTTTCCTGTAGTAGAGCAGTTGTGAAGTGTCCTAACAAAACTATTTTTGGTTTTGTTTTTCTTTTTTCTTGAGTAATCTTTAAGGAGGATAATGGCAGAATATTTTCAGCCCTGTAATGGGGCATTAGTGGTCAGTGATTCCCAAAGCACCAATGTCAGTCATTGTAGTGCTCTGTTTAGTAAACCTTGAGCTGTAAAGTCAATGTCTGTGTGGATTGGAGGGAAATTGCTGAGTCTGAAAGTACTATATTATCTATTATATTTAGGATTTCTTTTCCTTCACCAACTCTTCTAAGTAAGAGCTTATTTTTTGAAAAGGATACCCATCAACAGTTTTTTCATGCAGGCATTTTCAGTTATGGAACACGTTACTTGGAAAATGTACTTTTAAAGAAAGTATGTATTCTTCTTTTCTCTCTCCCGTTGCCACAACATTATACATTATTCTTTATTGTCATAGTACAAATTCTCTTGGAAATCACTGTAACAGTGTGTGGGTATAAAAGACTGGAAGAATCTAAAAGCTATTTTAAATTTTTACCTGCCACCAATTGCCTGCTGTTAAATTCTAGCCCCTACAGCAAGGATTAACTACCTTTCAAAAGGTGGCTTACTTATGACTGACATGATTGAAATCCAGAAAGTAGCCACATTTATCCTGCTGGCTTGACCTTCACTTAGATTGCTTTCTCTGTGAAAGAATGATGCACAAGTGATGGCCCTCACTGTAACCGTGATGATGTGTGAATTCTAATACTGTTCTGTGTTTCTTGTTACCCCAATCAAGTACAATATAATACAAATGTGAGTTACTGAAATATGTTAGGTAATTTTATGGAACCAGCCCTTCTAAATTAAAAAGCCTTTCAGTGACATCTGTTTGGTAGCTCACGGCAAAAGTGTGAGTTACTATACCACTAAGCTACCAGATGTTGATACTAACATGATGCTTGTTAGAATTCATGAGAGGTCTGAGAATAGTCCCAGCAAAGATTAAAAAAAGTAAATTAAAATTGGTTTAGCTTTTTTGTTTGTTTTTAGCTTTAGCCATGATATTATATTGGACTAATCCTCTGCTACCTCAAAAGCTACAGTGCTGTTTTGATGAAAGAGGAGAAAAAAGCCAGCACTTCAAATGTTTGTTTTTGGAAGGAAAGGCAGTGGATAATCCAATATTTTTCAAGGACAGCTGTAACTGAATGCTGTGAATATGTAACATGCATGCAGATTTTACCTAAATACTTTGGGGTTTTGTTAATGCCTGGCAATAATAAGATAATTGCTTTATATCAGACTTGTTCTTGATTTGAGCTGTTCTCCAGGGATTGTAATCTGAGAGGCTGTTTTCTTTAGTTTGCCTGTTACCTGTTGAAGGGAAAAGGAGAAGGACAGCTAGTAAATGTGCCCACTCCCCACAGCTTCCTGTGGCAAAGATGCCTCTGGAATTTGGACCCGCTAGAGACCATGCTCAGAACTACCTTCGAGCATGTTCCTCTACTAAAAGTGGATTCCTCCGTCGATCTTCTGGGAAGAGTTTGATAGCTGCATGATCACAAAGCAAATAACGTAACGAAGTAACAGTGGGTGGCGTTTGGTCGCGTGGGTCTGTAATAATATAATTTGACTTTACCTCATAAAAAAGCTGTGGTTTGGAGAAAGTTTGGTCCCACAAGTATTTTTCTCTTCAGTATGTTAGATGGGAGCAGAGTTTGGGGGTTTTGTTAACTGTGATCTCTGCCGATGAATTGCTAGCAAGTCGAAAAATATTTTCAGAGTAGCAAACCTTCACCGCACCAGCCAGGAGAGGGATGTGATATGGGTGAGGATGAATCAGTCTTGCAAACAGATATTAAATTATAGGAAATTGGGGCTTTAGTTACACTAGCCCATGCAACATCTGAGGGTTGCACAGGTACATTGTTTGCACATAATGAGGGAAAAAGTAGAAAACCCAATTTTTGTAGTGTTGTTACTGCTTTTAAAAAAGAGAAAAGGAGGATCTAATGAGATTTCTTTTTTTTTTTTAATTGAAGCAGATCAGTGAAGTAGAATTTGGACCAACCACAGGCTGTCCTCCTTATTATCCAGTTAGCCAAATGTTCCCAGTAATTCATGCCAGCTGTTGACAATGTAGCAGCTGAGTAAGGAGCTGATTCCAAAACTCAGGGGAAGACCTTGATTCACTTAATTACCAGTGTACAGAGTGGCCCGTGATTAGTGCATTCTTTAAGGTGCATTTGGGTTTTAAACTGTGTAACACTGTTTTCTAAAGGATGGTGAATATTACAGAGAGAAACTGGCTTAACTGAACAGGTTCGAATTTTCCAGCTCTTATCAAAGTAAATGGAATACATATCAGACTGTGGCGCTGGTTCTATCGTGTTTTGAAAATACAGTGTTTTGATCATGTGTATTTGTTGCATCTTGTTTTTTCTCCAGGAAAAATGTGTGATCTGAAGGTGCCATTTCTTTTAATAATGATACAAAGATCACTTACTCGCCCTTCTCTTTCTTTATCCCTGCATTGGTAAAACAAGCAAAGCTACTTGAACGAGAACAGCTCTGGTGTAACCCGTTCTGCGCCGTGACCCTATGCCATTCTTTATTCTTGTTATTTTTCATGAGCCTTCAGGATAGTGGATACGACACACATAAGCAGAGGACTGTGCCTGTTCTACAATTGCCAGAAATAGCACTGAAAATATTTCCGTGCATTTTTCTTTAAGTTCAAGCACATACATAGTGTAAGTTTTGCATATGCTTAATTTTTTGTTTTAAAGATAGCTTTGACTTACATTTTCAACTGTAATCACTATTTCTGTGGTTTCTTGGTGTATTCGCCGATCCCTGAAGAATAGAGGAGGGAAGGGAACAAACCACTATTTTTATAACAAAAGCTAAAAGAACGACAATGTATGTAATGTAGCAGTTGATCTTTGAGTCTTTTTTTTCACATGTACTATACAGGATAGAAGGAGGAAGGATAAGAGACAAGTTCATTTAAGCATTTTTTCTGGTTACCATGTGATTAATTTACACGTTTCAGTCTTCCCCTAGTTAATTCCTTCCACTACCATGAACTTCTATGCCTGAAGGAGAACTAATTGTTTGCCTGAAGTGTTTTCCTTTTTGTTTTTAATATTCAAAGCTTAATTTCTATTACTTCCTTTTAATTGTTTGTTGCCTTTTTGTGCAGGAAATAATAGGTGAAATTTCAGCCTAGACTTAACCATTTTTGCACCTGCTTTTGTAGGTCAAACCACTGATTCTAGTGCTCAATTAACCAGAAATGGTCAAATAATTTCCATCACAAAATAATTCCAATAAGTACCAATTCTCAGTTAACTCTATTGAAAGGGAGAAGAGTCTGATAGGGGGGAAAAAGTCAATATACATATGTTGGATTTTAATAACATACACAAGATTCAGTTCTTGAATTGTTCTTCATAATGAAGAGAAGGCTATTATGAATACACATGGCACCTTTGATCTTGAATAACTTTATGTAGATTTTTAAGTCCTGTTTCTTTCCAATAACTTTTGAAAGAAAGTATTTAATTTTGGGCCTGTAGATCGTCTTTATCTAGAATAGTTGAGAAATTAGTGTAGGTTGTGTCTACACAAATGTGTGTTTTCAGAGTGAAAACATTGTGTAGTGCAACCCATCAAAGGTTTTTCACTTTATGTATTTCAGGAGATGGTTACTGGTTCATTATAACTTAGAGTACTGGAAACTATGCACTGAGGTTTGTTAATTAGTTACTGTTGCTCATTATGGCAGTCAGTAAGAGATAGCTCTTTAGAAGGAATGTGACAGTCTTTCCTGTCACAGTGAACAGAAGGTGTGGCAAAAAGTATCCCTTTATTTATCCTGGCTTTTGGTCAAACTCCCTAATTTACCAAAGGGAATAAATTGCTTGAAT